TAACCGGAGTGTATTAGCAGGCAGTGCTTTGTGAGTAAGGAGTTGGCATTTGTTGTTGACCAACACGGCTAGCTAGCTTAACGTCGGGCTTCAAGCGCGAGCACTTTTCTGCCAAATAACCGCTAATTTCATGATCTTGTTTTGCCTAAAACTTCCAAGTTAGCGCCGAGTTTCCACTGGCTGCATACTACGGAGTGTCTTAACGACAAACGGTGACAATACCGCGGTTCTGCGTTGCCTACTGAATGCGCTGAGTGCTCCGTGTTTTGCGCCGTAGCTGTGGTCCGTTAGCGCCGCCGCCGCTAGCCGGAGGGCATCTCCGGTCCGTCCCCAGCTTGGCCTGGCACAGCAAACATACCCTCCGCTCACATAAATGCCCCTCAGCTCAGCCCCACAGCCATGCAGCCCCCTGTTTGAAACACAGGGCCCGACTCTGACAGCTGCCTCTCAGCGACAATAACAGCATACGCACGGCTAAAAGAAAGAAAAAAAAAGAAGCGCTGTTGTTTTCCTGACGCCTCCGTGGGAGAAGCGCTCCCTAAAGCGGCTCTGTTCCGGGGAAGCTAGCGGACATCCTCCACCGCGGACAGCTACGGCAACACGGCGGAAGGCAGCTTCCTCCCTCGGCGGTGAGGAAGATGAAGAGGGCAGGCTGCGGCGGCGGTGGTGCAGGGCGAGGTGTGTCCGCACCGAATCACAGAGCGGAGGCCAGGCAATCAAATCACAGCAAAACAGAAAGTCGACAAAGTTGCCGAGAGGAAAGGGCGGGGTCCGAGGGGCCGCGGTGCAGTCTGGGAAATGTAGGAGCGCATCAGCTGCTAAACCTGTGCCGTGTTGTTTTCAGTGTATTGTCACCGTTTCCACTGGCAACCAAGTTAATACTTCACACAAGCAAAGAGACACTATAAAAAGCAAGAAAAAAAGATTATTATTACCATTCTAAAAACGATTAAATACTGACTGTGGCTCCTAAAAATCTTTGCTTTATTATTAGATTCCACTCTGCTGTCACTTCACAAAGTACATCACAATGAATTGGATTCAGCAGGTTTATTGTCACATCCTCCTGACAACCGAGGGAAAAAAATGCTTTTTTCTGCAGTCTTCATTTTGTCTCAGCATTAGACTGAGATAAACTTTACTGATACACAAGGGGAACTGTTATATCAGGGTAGCACAAAATAAATAATTATATAAGAACATGCTAAACATGAATGAAACAAAAAAAGAAGTAAAAAAGCAAGCAGGAAAAAAAGAATACAGTACAAAGATTTCCATATGTACAATTCACAATTTTACAGTTGGTTTTTGTTTTTGCCAAGTAAAGAAAGACAATAAAAGAAATAATGATAATAAAATAAAGATTCAAAATAAGAATAAAGATAAATACTACAAACACACAAAAGGCCACGGCGTCCTCTATTCAGCACATTAGAATTTACTAGGGTAGCTCAAATGAGTCAAAAGATATAGATCAACAACAACTGTCCACTACAAAGGACATAAATGAACAAGCTCGGGCCCTGCAGGATATGCACAGGAAGCCAGACAGTTACACTGCACGATGGCATTCTCACTTTGCAGATCCTCCTTAAGCAAATGGACACAATGCAAGAAAGACTACAGCAGTTTAAATAAACAAGCATATCTAAAATGACAGTGGAAGTGGTCGTGAAGTGTAAACCTTGATTTGAATAAAGTGACTATGGCAGTGATAAGGTGATTACAGTAATGATTATAAAGTGCATATTGCTTTGAGGTAAAGCATTATATAGTGGTAAATATGGGGTGGCAGCAGTGGTCATAATATATGTGTGTGTGAAGTAAAAACTGTTCATCAGCCACCATTAAACAGATCATGCAAACTGCAGCTGAAGAACATACAGATAACCAGTCACATCAGGACGTATACAGATCCCTTTACTTCTTGCTTTCTTTATCTTGTTCAATGGGATAACGTTTAATTTTTTTTTTTTCCATCAATTGACGCCCAATAACCCAGAACAACTGAGTCAAAATAGGTTTTTACCCCCCAAAAATAATCAGATTTATTAAAAATCAATGTAAATCATAAAAAATAACCTTTAGAGCTCCTTTACTGTGATGCAGTAAATTGTGTTTAGGTGTGTGCTGCTGCTGTTATAATCACCACAATGTGTCTGGACCTGTGGCAGCCAGAACGAAAGCTGTAAAGTCACAGAAACTCTTTCACTCCTCTATAAAACTGTGCCGGGGCATAGGTCAGGGAAAGGGTGTGAAACCATTTCCAAAGCTCTGAGTGTTTCCAAGAACACAACGGCCTCGATTACTAAAACTATAAACCACCAGGACAGCGTAAATAAGAAGGCAGGGTTTTGGTAAAGGAGGCACCGTCACGCTAACAGAGGAGTGTAAACTAAAGGGCACAAATGTCAGTTTTATCCCTTTCAAACTAAATCCACACATTACAAACGTTTGTAAAATGTGAAGAGGTCTGAAACAACCTGAGCAGTGGTGAAGGAGGTATTCAGAAACTTTACTGAAGGAAAAGTGCTAATCTTACACTGTAAAGCTGCTTTTGTCAATAAAGTAAAATCATGTAAGAACACTCAGGACGATATACTTTAAGTATTTAAAGTGAGTACCCAGTGCACCATATTGTCCATGTGATTGCCTCTTCAGATTACTATTAGTCATAAAAGTAGAATCTCACACTAGTAGCAGGATGAGCTGACACTTATTTTTAACAGATTGATAGAATTTATTGAGTATTTTCTCGTGTACTTGATGAGTTATTTGTTTTGAAAACGATTCAGACAATGACCAGGAATGACGTCACAACAGGGAAACCTTCACACCGCTCAGCTTATCCAGCATAAAGTCGCAAAACCTCAGCGTTTTAAAGTAAACAAATAAAAAGTAATAAAATTAAGTGCAGAAATAATTCACATTTGAGAAGCTGGAACCATGAAACAGCAATTTTTTATTAAAAAATGACTTCAAATGTATTTCTAACAGTTGCAAATCAATGTTTTACGAGTTAACTGATCCACTTACTTCATGAGCTCTGCTGTTGCGTAAGTTTAATTTATTACAAAACGCTTTATGGTTTATGGCTGCAAAATCTTTATTTGGAAAGTACCTAGTTAATGTAACACTCAACCAATTACAGTAGATTAATATTTAACATTTAGTAATGATTGATAGAATGAATAACTGACCAGTGGGGCGGTGAGGGAAAGAAATCCCCTATGAGACATACATAATAAAAAAAAACTATAAAATAAAAATGTAAAAATGGAATGATGTGTGTGACACATATAGTATGAGCAGAACCTATGAACACTACGTACAGTACAGCTGTCTGGTTCATATACAGTACAAAGTGCGAGCAGTTGTGGAACAGGGCAAAGACAGTATAGCACCAGTCAGTTACATATTGATAACAGGGAGTGCAAACATAAGCCGAGCAGTGCTGGAATGAGATTTTTTTTGTGCTTAGTATCTCACAATTTACACTTATAAAAGATAAAGGTACATTCCACTGAGTTTACGTTATACTTTTATGAGCGCTACTCACAAAGTGAAATCTGTTGTCAATGTCATCTGAAGAAAGAAAAAAAGAACCCAATGTTGTGATCTGGTTACAGAGTTTTAAGAGACAATTACAAAAGTGGGAGAAAAGTTTGAAAATGTGGACATTCACCAGTCAGGCAGGGTCTGTTTTCTCCCCCCCCATCGCTAACAGCCTTCTGTAATGATCCCAGAAAATC